AAGTTATATGTTTATACATATATATATATAGATATGAAATGTAATGCAATGCAATGCAATTTGGGTCAATATATGCATACATATATATATAAATATAATATGTATATTGTCGTAATAGCATGGTTGGTTATACCGCTGTTTCTGAGGTCCTGGCCCTCTTCATCGACATTTGCCTGGAACTGAAAATAAAATCTACCCTGCCGGTTTCAATACCAAAATACTCAAAGTTTTAAGGATCATTTAGGGCTATACTTATGGAAACTAATGGAAACATGAACTTTCCAGATAGTCATTTAATCTTATTTTGATGTACCAATCCGTTATAGGTTTATCAACAAAAAATGGTACATGTTTTTTTTGAGATGCCATCTGGATGGATGCCACAATTTTATGGGTGAGCCCCATTCACCAGCACCTGGAAATAAAACGGGGATGCAACTCAGAGATTTTTCATTGGTAGATCCCATCAACTATCCCACATTGCAAGCGTCTTGCCTGGACCGTACGGGTGCAGCTATCTGTTGCCTCAATGGACACAATGGACACAGATGGATGAATGATTCTTCCATCGCAGGGGCCAAGCCCCTGATTTTGCTCTGCACACTTGCTAAAATTTGGCATCTTATGTTTTAAAGATCCAAGAAGAGAGAGGAAGGTAAGGACAGCATGATATTTTCACATGCTTTCACATACTTTCACGTACTTTCACATACTTCTTCGACTGGATATATCTACTTCGGTAGCACGCAAGAACATGCAAGCACACTACAATTGCGAACCTCCGCATTGGCAAACTTCTCTCAATGAAATTCAAACTTGGCACAAATAATCTTTTCGGTACCCTTGTGAATATTCCAACAGTATCCAACAATGAGCACACTGGTTGAAGATATTCGCAGCGCATTTTTTTGTGGCAGACTTGACTTCATTCATCCCCACCCAGTCCAACGGCAGGTGAAGTTGTTTATCTCCGGTGACAGACTAAGGTCCCAAGCCAAGACCAATTGATTGCATGAAAGAAAGAAAAGCCTCAGCAAATGGTCAATGACCAGAATCCACTGCTGTGGTAACAGAACTTCCAGTCCTTGGAAACGCTTGGATTTTTATGGGGCACCAGCTACCAGATGAGACATTTGCAGCTTTCCGTTCCTTTCATCACTGTGTCATTGCCCAACTTTCACCACGGCACCCAAGGTACCACAATCGATCCATCAAACCTGGGCGCTTGGGGCGCTTGGGGCGCTTGGGGCGCTTGCGATACCGATCCTTTCTGCACACTGAAAGCAGCGTGGAAAGGGCGAAGTCGTTTCACTGTTGTGTTACCCCTGAAATTTAGAATCCCTTTTTTGGTTTTAAACATGTGCTGACATTTAGAGTAAAGAACAATCGGCGACACAATCGACACTTGACAGACATACACTGAATGAAGCAAAAAGCAATAAAACACTCGTGCTCAGACATTTCCTTTCAGCTCTCCTTCGAAGTCGTGTTAGCTTGTCTCAGCTTTGAAAGTTCACTGGGAGCCACGCTGAAAATTCTAGCGTTGTGACCGTCAAAGGGTAATCCTCAGTGAAGAAAGTGCGAGAACCCGACAAATGATAAAACCAACAGGCAAGTGATGGTCCCTTGATTCCTCTTGATTCACGGTTGAGACTTCGGCACCGGCACCAATCATGAAGAAACATGCCCAATAAGATGGATGGCTTTCAAAAAACCAACAACCAGTGGGAAAGTTGCCAATGAATGTGAGGAAGCATGGGAAACATAACATTTGGTGGAAGAAATCCTGCAATTGCTAACTATTGGTAACTATGAAACACTGGATATAACACTGGATATGGGATAAAGTGGATAAACATGGATAAACCATCTACCACCTGCAGGATTTGGCCACAGATCCTTCGGCTTCCGCCAAGGTGCTACATACGAAGGGGTTCAGTGGGCTCAAAGTACTGAGCCAAATACTGCGGCACGGCATTTTTTTTATCACCATGGCAGGCATCATCTTGGAAGTGGCAAAAAAAACAGTGGTGTCATGTCTTTTAATGTGAACTTTATCCATTTTATCCACTTTATCCATCCAACTTATCCACTATAAATTACTATCTTTGTCCATTGATGAAATGAGGATCCCAAATTCCAATCCGTACCTCGCTGATGGGTTGATCCAGCAGCAGTTGCTTCTGGAAACGCAGCTGCAGTCGAACCTGATCGCACATGTCCCTGGGTGAGATATTCCCTTCAGCAAACATGGGACAAACATGGGACAATTTGGACAATTCTTGGTTAGCGACTTTCGGTTTTTCATGGTTTGTTTACAGGGAGTACTGTTTGGCTCTCCCGCAACATGCAGATTGGCCATGGAAAGAGAGACACCGCTCCGTGTGTCCAGTAAACATGAGACTGCTTCTGGCAAATGACAGTCAGTTCTGAGGCTGACATGCAAACTTGATATACAAACTTAACATTGAACTAATGAAGGATTTTGCCTACGAAAATCCTCCCAAAAAACATGACACATTTCGGGTCACCTAGACCCCCAAGCCCGGCACCTCATTACTGGCATTGGGAGCCTCAGAAATCACGTGGCGAAGCGCATTGCTGGTGGCACATCATCAACATTCACTAGCATTAGCATTGGCATCAGCATTGCTATTGTCGGCGGCATCATCATCGTCGTCATCATCGTCATCACCATCACCATCACCATCATCATCATCATCAACAACAACAACAACAACACAAACACAACACTATTCAATATACATGTAACTATGTATTATAGTTATACAGTTGATACACCTAGATGCTCAGTAACAATTCATCATTTCAAAGTCCAGTCTCTCTTCGTCTCTTTGCAAGTCGCAAGTGTCCTAATTATGGAACACAACCTGGAACATCTGACCTTGCTGGTCGAATTTGTACATGATCCCCCAAAGCGGGACACCAACATCAAAATAGCACTGGTATCTTCATCCCCGAAAACAAGACCAGAATGCTCGACCCCTAAGTTGAGATCCCCCAATATGGTACCGCTGTGGATTGGTTTCAAAACCACTAACCTATGGCATTTCTATTCAAAAAAACCATCAAGAATGGGATTCACAGAGAATTTCCCAACAAAACATGGGGATTTCCAAACATCCAACTCAGAAAACCGGGATTACACAAGCAAATTACCATTCTTGCCGGTAACCCCGACTGTTGTAGCTTGGTATCCCTCCCGGAACCAAATACATCAAGTCTGTTTACATCCGTCCCTGTGTCATCCCCATTGATTGCATTTTCCCATGTTTTTGCTGGAAAATCCACCATAAAATTGGTTGGCTAAAATACCCCACATATCCAATGATAGCGATTAATTATGTCTCATTGCATCCCCGTTAGAACCTACTGCTTTGTCACTATTTCTTTTACAAGCTTTACATGATAACCACCGTCGCCTATATTACATAAACATATATATATATATACATCATATATACATCCATATATTCCCATTTATTGTTGGTAACATTTTCCTTTGAACCTGAAGACTTCGGCCACTTTGGGATAGTTAAAGGTGCTCCCCTTCAGTTATCAGTTTATATATAACGCCATTAACTATAGCATGTATATATATATAATATACTTAGCCATAGGATATATAATCTATAACAATAATGAAATATGAATATATCATCAACTATAGGTATATAGTTTTTTTTTACACACACATATCTATACTATATATATATACAAATATACATCCCCCTAATTAACCCATGTTCCCCAACCACAATCGATGCCAGGCATTGCCAGTTCAGCGGAAATGTTTTGCAAGAACTCTCCTAAAAATAGGGATTCAATGTCAAAGGAAATCTAGAAATATGGATTTCAGATACCTACAATGTCGATTCGATCAGCGAGATTTCATCAACTAAATCATGTCATCAAGGTTTTCACCACTGCAAAGTATGGATAACTTACAAACATAACTTTGGGATCTTACCGAATGTTCCCAATCAGTGGGAAACGGAGAGACATGGACCAGCTCACTGGGAATCCTGCAGCAACTATAGACATCGGGATTCAACGAAAAAGAATAGATGCATTACGAGAAACAATGTCTGGAAAATTGGAGCAACAAAACATGGAAAAGAAGTTGGTGATCAGAAATGATTATGGATGATTATGGATGATTAATGATTAGTAATGACTAGCTATGATATATAGGGGCTATACCATGTTATACCATGTTATACCATTCGACTTTCCAGGTCTTGCTGAGTTTTTTTGGACCAGCCACCATGGCAGAACTCCACCGTGGTTGGGTCCCACTCAATTCGTAGCTCCAACGGGCTCCCCATTTTGTGTTGGGAGCGTGCCTTCACCGATCGTATTCCCTTAGATTTTCCTTAAAAATTCACGACTATTCATATTGTATTTGTTTATCATTCATGTCAATTCATGACTATATCAATCAATGTCCAAGTGGGTCACTATTAATCCCATGTCTATTTTCATCCCATTATCAGCATTAATCACTATTACTCACCATTCGTATTTTTTTTTGATCTGGTAAACCCAATGATAAATCATCCCCAACGGTTTATTGTATATTATCATTGGGTTTCCCCGTGTTTTTTCACTCAACGTATCTGTCCGTGACCCCGAAAAGCGCCGAAAAAACGGTCCTGGGTTTCAAAGCCTTGGCTGTGGAAACTGCCATCGATGAAGCTCAAACAACCCCGGCCTCAGCGCATCGACCAAAATGTGAGATATCAATCATAAAACCCAGAGAATCTTGGGGATGTAAAGGGTTACTACACACATATATATATAATACATATACCCCTGTATCGATATATATATATATATATATATTTGTATATATATATAGATGTATGTATATGTATATGGAGTAGTATTATGATACCGTTCTTGAAAAATGTTAGTCAAATATTGGATCACCCGTCTCAAAAAAACTCCTCACCCCCAACTGCGACTGTCGCTTTGTTTCTGCGTTTTTTTTTCCCCGATCTTCTTCATCGCGAAACGATGTGCCTGGGAGGAGACGTGGTTTGATCTGGCTTGAGACCTGAAACTCATCGGACATGGGAAAACGATGGGACCATCAGTTTATGGAGGTTGGGAAAATCATCAATCCAATGTTTTAGAACCGACATTTTCTGTACACATCTGAGGTCTGGTAACACCTTCAGGTCGTTACTCGTATGTATCCGAATCTCGTTTCGTCCAGGACACAGTTTTCAGCCAATTTGCCCAATTTTTCCGCCAGTTGGTAAAATCCATGGTGATCCCATCATCCACCTGGCCATTTTCGTCAGCCGCTAAGCAATGACGCTTCAAATCGGTGCGGTAAATCACTCAATTCTTGCTGATTATGTTGATTCTTCGAAGAAAAAAAATACGTTTGTTGGTTCTTTTCCCATGATATCTCCCAAAAATTGTTCTGTTGGTTGTTATCCCCAGATATCCCCAGTATATTCCCCCCAAAATGGTAAGTTCTGCCTCCATGTGATGCTTCATCATCGGCTCAGGAGAGTAGCGTCCAGTCCTGATGATCTGCGAAGATCATGGGATACCCAAAAATGGAGGATTTACCATCTGGTTATTTAACAGTTCGCCATGGAAAATCACCATTTTTAATAGGTAAACCATCTATAAATGGGCCATTTCCTATGGCTATGTTAAATAACCAGAGGGTATAATGGAAAATCCGAATCTAAATCATGTATATATGGAGGTTTCCATAAATGGGGGTACCCCAAAATAGATGGTTTATAATGGACAATAACATTAACATGGATGATTTGGGGGTACCCCTATTCTAGGAAACCTCCATATCACGGGGGTATAACCAACAATAAGGAAAAACATAGTAAATACGTTAAATATACTGGGAATAGAATGGACATATCATGAATACCTTCCGGTAAATCAAAGATGGCAAGCTGGGAAATCCCCCCATAAAAAATGGGGAAATCATCGAACCAAACGGGGAATTTTCCATTGCAGGATGGTAACCTGAAAGAATTGGATCTGAACAATGGGGGTTGAGCTATCACCTTGATATCATGGGATAACCAGCAATTTATGACATATGAGTCTGCGGCAAAAGGAGGGATAGACCCCGCCTGTTTTCATAGTCATTTTTCCATGGCAAAATGATGATTTTACCAATGGATTCGATGGAACGAATCTATCAATGGAGCTTTGCTGCGAAAATCATCCAGCGAAATGGTGGGATTTTCCACATCGGACCATGTTCGCCTCACATCTGCGAAGCACGTCCCTGCTTAGAAGTGGTGCTTCTGGTGGTTTATGAATGCCCTCTGGCGCTCACATTCCCTGAACCCTGGTAGCCTGGTGACCAGCAAAACAGGTCTTAAATGCAACCCCTCAAAGATCAAAGGTTTTGATTCGAAGTCCCAGCAACACCACAGTTAGCGCTGAAATGAAACATATTTGATATCAGCAACATTACCTGTAGCATATTTTTTGCCGATGATCTTACCATTTCTATGGGAAGCATGATCCATTCATGCATGAACCAACCCACTCATTGTTGGTAGTTCACAAATGAATGGTTTCATGAAGAGTATGGAAACACATTCCCCAAAAAATGATTCCAAAACAAGCCGTTTATTCTTTACGGGGAAAAACTACCATATAAATTTCGCTCAATCTTGACACATCGGACCTTGTTTGGATGTTTACAAAACATACAAAACCCATAGATATGCCGATTTACCCTATACTTTTCTTATCCCCAACTTTTTTTGGTCAAAATTCCAATGTTTGACCCAGATAAATTGGTTGGTTAACCCCCCCATTCCAACCAACCACTTGGATGGTTGGGAAACTCGGCAGTTAACCCATGATATGTCTGGGTCTTATTCCAATGATCAAAATGGATATTTTGGGCAAATATCATGGGAATATATGATTCCATCAATGATATATTGGCGTATTATTCATCTATGAACTGTTGGCAGCCTGATTTTTGATGGCTTCCAGCCTTGAGCTTCCGTTGCTTCAGCCTCTGTGCGAGGAGCGCTTCGCGCTGCTCCAAGGGCACTTGTGGGTGCCAGAAACGCACCAGCAACACCTGCGATGCCGGTGATTCTGACGGCATCAGAATCTGGCAAACAAAATCAAACAACTTGGATTGGGGGATGTTGGGATGCAAACCAATGCGCATTTTGTTTGAGGCTTGAAAAACTGTGCAGATATTTCGACAGTTTTGGGCGATGCTCGTGTACAGTGTCTACAGGCTTCAAAATTTGGTGGTCTCGAATGGATGCGTCAAGCGGTTTCAAGGCGTCAGGATGGTTGGGGGTGTCCGCAATACCATGAAGTTTCAACCGAGTTGCAATACGCGTGGAGTCGCCGTGATGTTGCACCTGCAGGATTAACATTTGTGCCCACCCCAAGTCCCCTCAGTTTTCACATTTTAACAATACATCTTGACTGGAAAGGACCCGGAAGCATCTTGATACACAAATGATTGTATGATGTATTGTCTTGGTCAGATATTTCTGTCTTTTTGGATTCATGTTCATTCCAGCCAACGAGCGCCTCATCTTGCACGCTTGGTGAGATTCCAATATGTGCTGGGTAATATTCCCACTTTGGCTAGTTCCATAGCAAGTTCGGTTTGAATCAGCATTTTTTGCTGCTTCCACCACTTTACTTGTGCATTTCTTTCCCCATCAAAATCACATTCGAATCTGCTGGTCAAAGCCACATTTAGGCTGTTGTCACCACAATTTTGGCTGGCAAACAAAGTTGGAGAATCATTGATATAGCCCAAAGTTATTGATGATCAACTCAGCATAAACTATGATACTTTCCATTGTCATCCCATTCTGGTGAATACTTTCCCGGTTTTTTTCCTGCTACACCAACATTTCATCCCCATCATATCACCATTATGTTTGGTAAAGCTTCATTATCAACCGTTACTACCTACTACATCATTGTTACTATTATCAGCATTATCACTATTATCATTATTATGACGATCATTATTATTACTACTATCACTATTATCAGTATTATCACTATTATATCACTATTATCAGTATTATCACTATAATTATTTTTCCCAACTTTTTCCCCTCATAATCTCGTTGGTTCTCCATGGCCACCCGCTGTACGCGCGTTCCTCGTGTTCGTAGGAGTCGTCAAAGACCAGACACTTCCCCGGCTGCCAGGTGCGCCACTTGCGGCCCACGCGCAAACGGCAGCCCGTCGGCACCTGCGGCCCGTTGTGTGTGGAAAGGGTGAGCACATGTGTGATGGAAAAGATGGAAAAGTAAACCACAGTTGAAATATGTTGAGATATGTTGAACTATGTTGAAATGACCAAGCCGACCCGGAAGGGTGTTGTTTTTGGTGTATCCACAGTAGTTTTGGTACCATTGATCGTTGGAGAACTCCCTATATGCTTTTGGGTCGCTGTACCACACCATTTTCACAGGTGGACACCAAACATGTGCGAAACCAGCAACCGAATCGAAACGCACACGTGTTGGCTCAATTCCCACTATGGATACTATGGCTGGTTTGTTTGTTGCATTCTCAAACCAACCAATTCATTGTGGCAAGACGCACCTAGATTCTAGCAGCTTCAACAAATCCAATTTTGATCGCTAAACCAATCATCATTAAGCACCAATAACCATCACTATCCATACCTAACCCTTACCATCCAATAGTTGATAGTCAAAATTCTTCCTACCAGTCAATATTTGATCGTCAAACTAGTGGTTAGTATTTTGATAGAAAAAACTGGGTCAATTATTACCGTAAAACCTAACCATAATCCTAATCAATATTGGTGGATTAATTACCATTACTTTTCATTATCAATAATGATGATTTATATTGATGATTCATAAAAATGATGGTTATGATGGTTATTTTCATAAGCTATGGTTACTATGGTTATTGATGATGATTTTTCTATTGATTTCATCATGATTTTTCTCCAGGCGGACTGCCTCCAATCCCAGGTGGCAGGTAAGGTGGAGATTGGTCGGCCCGCAGTGCGGCTTGAGGCGCGTCCCAGGCGTCAAACCTAGGGATGGTGGCTGTTTCGGATAGCGAATGAATATGGAAAACACCTGGATACACCATCATGATTCATCATTAAATTCATCATTCCTAGAAAATTATGACGAATTAGACCCATGAAAATTGGACAATGAAACCGTGGAATATCTATGCCTTTGAGGAAAATGCTTATTAAACAGTGGATTTGGGAAATCCTCTGGCATTGATTTGGATACAGCTAAAATATGTGCATCCCATGGGATGCGGTAACCAATGGATAGCCAGACATATTCAGATTCAGTTGCAAAAAAAGCAAGTTATCATTCACTCACCCACAATTAATATAGCTTATACTTGGTCATGTACATCTCATATTATGGCTATACTATAAGGCATTCGTCGCCATCACCGGCCGACCCGGTCGCCATCCCGCTTAAGGCGCGGGAAAAGAGGGCTGTCTCTTCGTTGGGACAGAGGCGCCAGTGGCTGGCGATAGCCTCAACCTGGCGATGTAGCTGACCCAGGAAATTACGAGCCTCGATGGCCTCATTGATCAATATTTTTGGGGTAGCTGAGGTAGCTGTATGATTGTTTTTTTTTCCATTTTTCTGGGGAACCTTCCTGATTTTACTACAGTAAATAAACATAGATACATGAAAGTAGATCATCTTCGGAAAGCATCGATTTTCCCTATGAGTATGGGTCAACACCTTGGACTTCTCACCAAAATTGCTGAGAAACAGCTTGAACATCATCTACTTGCTCTTTCCATGGTCCTTTGCATCGTCCCTGTATAGGACAACCGCGATGGGGTCATTCAGGATCTGACCCGGAAACCATCTGAAGCTGATGCAGCGTCAAGTCGTCAGGAAATTTCCCGTCTCAAGAGCAATGTCTCCGTCACGGATCGAAACACGGATCGGTGTCATCTTGAAAGAAGATGTGTGCTTTAGGCCAAGGGTGTCCATGATCTTGAATTGCCAGCCAACCATTGTTGGCAACAAATAAATTGAATTGCTCTGTAGGGCTTAAGATTTGTTGTGCACTGCATGTGCGAGCAATGAAGCCCTGGACCTATGTATGCGAGTCTCTGCGCAGGCACCCTGCATGCACTCAAACATGAGCGTGACACACGCTCAAAGAATTTCCATGTAAGACATATCACACTTGCTGGCATGTGATATAGAACATCAAAGGTTTTGATCCGCAGTGTCTGTTTTGTCCCATAATTTCGAGAATTATTGCATAAGTAGCAACCTTAATTTGCCATATGGGGGTGGATGAAAAACATTTTCTTGGTTTAGTATCAATATCTACAACCAATATCTTAACTCTACTGGTGTATATATATATATGTACACATATGAACACCATATTTATCTGTCTATGTATATATATATATATGTATAAAAGCTCTAAATAATAAACAAACCATCTGTCTATATCTCTATCTATATCTTTCTATATGTGTCATATATGTTAAATAACCATTTCCCCACTGCTACCAACAATGGCACCTCCGTTAGCAGCTGCCAGGTGCGCGGGCAACGGCTCTCAGTGTCCACCTGCAAACCCAGCAGAGGGAACTCGCGCCAAATGCCCGTCCTCGGCGACTCGTGGGAAGCTTCATTTTTTTTGAGTTGTTTGGATGGGATTGAGATTCATTATAAATGCTACGTATGTACACATATATATATATATATACATACGTCGCTGGTATAACTATTTTGCTAGGATTATGTGGTAACCCGATGCCACATATTTGCCTTCTCTGATTCTCAGTACTGACTGGGAACTTATGGATACCCCTCTGATACCTGCGTTATTTTATTGGGACAAAAAGATGGTAAATGTGGAGAGATGGGACGGTTCATTGGCTTGGTTTGTTGCGAAAAAAACGACGGTTGAAACTAGCAAGTGTGGGTCTTCGAATGACCATGTACTGTAAGGATTTTGTTTGGAACAAACATTGGGGATGCAATGGGGATGTCAATGTGGACTACCACCAATTATTGCGGGGCTATTATGCCGATGAATGCGGGATACCATCAGCAACCCCAAAACCTGGGATTTCAATCTTGCATTGGTCTTAAGGTTAGGAATGCAGATATGGGATACATGGAGGATATCAACAAAGGAAAATGGGGGGAATTGGTGGCCGGTGTATGTTGTATTGCCAAGGAAACTGTTTCTCAGGTTTCTACTTTAATCCATCATCCCTGAGGCCTTGCAGCAGCCATGACATCATCTGGGAGGAATGTACTGCATCATTGGCTTTCGTTTGAAACGAGCCTTTGCTTTCCATGGTCGAACCGCTGATGCCGACCATCATGCCTTTGCTATCGATTTTTCCGGTTTGTTAAACATCAATATCGTGGTTGGTTGCTATATCAAGTTGGTGGGTTGGCTTATTGAAACCGCTCAATCAACCAACTTGAAATATCAACCCATCCACTGTTGGATAGATTCTTACTTTTCGAGGTCCGAGTCCAATTTCACGAGTAAAACCATCCACCTTTCGTGGTCGCCATACTTTTCGGGGTTTCCTTAAAAATTGGGATACCCCTAAGCACCAAGTGTTTCCCCACTCAAGAATGATCAGTGACTTGGATAGTTTGGGGAACCATGTTAAGAAACCAGGGATATTTCCATGATATTTGAGTGACATTCCATTCTATTCCCATTTATAGTTGCTAACTCACATCAACCCCTCCTATTCTTGATGGTTGACCTCTATATTTTGTCGCTGAAACCAACATAACATCACCATTTTGGCTGGTCAAATGGCTATTCTTTACCCTTATTAACAATTTTACCCACTGGTAAACATACAAATAACTATGGAAAATCACCATTTTAATGGGTAAATCAACTATTTCTATAGCCATGTTCAATGGCAATGTTAGATTACCAGAGGGTAACTATGGATGATGAATCTCCAAGAACATCCCGAGTATATTCTCCCCTACTTCCATGACACTTCGATCTGGCGCTGGTAAAATCCCACATGATTCACCGATAACCAGTATTGATCATTGCTAATCATGATTGTTGGTGCTTAGGGGTATCCCACTATTCGTATTGTTGGTAAAATTAATATATACTATTAATATCCCACTTAGGTAGGTATCATTAATATATACTATTAGTATTGTTGGTAAAATCACTATGATGAATCAATCAATCATTCAACATTATTCAACATTTATTCTCCAATCACCAGGCAAAATCGCCCATCATTAACTGGTTGGTGGTATACCTACCCCTCTGAAAAATATATGAAAATCAGGTGAGGGATCATCATCCCCAATCTGGTTGGGGAAAATAACCCAGCCATGTTGCAAACCACCAGATAAGTGGTTGATAACCATAGTTACAACCCATTTATAATCATTGATGAACCAGTTATAGTTAATAACCCATTTATAATACCATAGTTATAACCATAGTTATAGTTACTAAGCCATTTATAATCATAGTTATATCCCATTTATAACACATCTATAACCCATAGTTATAACCATAGTTAACAACCATCATTTATAACCACTTTGGGAATCTCCACGTCTCCGGTCCAAGATACCCCTCCGCCAGGCTTCGGTCGTGTCCCCTGACCTCCGGCCACGCGGACGCGGCGGGTTCCGCGTCTGCCGCATCGAGCTGTCGTAGTTCAGCGAGGATCTCCTGCCTCGGTCACAATCCCACTTGGTAAATGGGTTATAGCAGGTATATATGAACTATCACCAGTTATGTATATATATATATATGTATATGTATATATGTACACATAATTAATATATATATATATGAATTATAGTAAAGTATATGTATATATATATATATGTATGTAATTATATGTATATAGGTTATAAGCCACTAACTAACTGGGATGCACATCCAAGTATGGTCTATATGGGGATTATATGGGGATATGTATGGGGATTTTTGATGGGGACAAATGAACAATAACGGGAATGGTGATAAAGCAATGAATAATGTGGGGAAGGATTGATAGACAATGGCACTAATGCGCATATAATGGAGATAAGCTGGAGATAAATTTTGAATATAAGTGGATATACTAGCATCAATAATACGTAAACTTCATTTTTACTATGAAACCTACTTTTGAGCAGGATTCATAATAACAAACAATGCTCAAGTATCATTCATAATTTGATGATCGACAAATGGACCATATATGGAGCTTAAGCCACAAACATAGTAGACTTCAGCAACTAAAATGGGGATCGTAGACAGCAAACAATGGGAGATGACAAACAAAGATGGAACCTTTCAATGAGGAAATGGGGAAGATCACCAAAAACGGAGGCATAGTGGAATAGTCTTGACTTGGGGAAAATATGATCAACTAAAGCCGGGGCATCATGGGTACTGGGTAGTGCCGCAGATCCCGGATATGGGGCTATCCTCCAAAAAACAATTACCTGGCCCCCGGTCTTCTCCAATCTTCCTGGATGGAGCCAATCTATTCCACTACGTAGCCGACCTCCCACCTTCTCTTGTTGATTGCTTATCTCTTCTGACTTCTCTCATTTCCCATTCCACACCGTTCCATACCCCAGAACAGTCCAGAGGACAGTGAAAACCATGGCCCTTTTCCGTCAAAAAGCCCTTCCAAGAATCCATTGTTTACCCTCTGGTAACTTCATAGCTAGTGAACATGGCCATAGAAATATAATGTTAGTTGATTTACCCATTAAAAATTGCGATTTTCCAGCCATTTATAGTTGATTTGCCCATTAAAAATGGCGCTTTTCCTTCGTTTTTTCCTATGTCAATCCATTGGTTCAGGGCTTTCTGCCGACAGGCGAAGCCACCAATGATCTTCCAACTTCTTCATCCATGGAAAGTCTTCCACCTCTGGCGGACACCGATGGGAGCACAGTCCAAGGGCAATGTGGGGCTGTATGAAATTCAGTCATGTGGTAAACCCAATTTATAAATCATCTCCAATATGTCTTTACAGTAATGTGGCGAATCATCATTAAATCATCATTCAGTAATGTGGTAAATCCCAGAAATGTTTTTTTTTGGGTTGTATCAACCATCCCTAAATGGTAGGTTTACGCCATTGGGAGAATCCCGCTGCATTTGGAGCTGGAACTCCACGCGAAATGTGTTGTCAATCCCCCATGATGCTAGTTGGGGTTTGTTGGAAAGTAGGATAGTCAAGAATCTCATATCTATTTATCTATATCTCTATTTATCCATATACCCATATATCCATATATCTATATCTGTATGTAATCATCATTTTGCCCATGGAAACTGCCGTTTTTTTTGGGTATCGATGGACAACCCCCGACCGAATCCTCCCGCACCCGATGCCAGGGCGAGGAGTAGAGCTGGGGTAGGAAGTGCGAGGGCCGTTGCAGCGGATGCACCCAGAAGGGCGTAGGGCATCGCTCGACGGCCTGGTTTTCCCCAGGTTTTGGGCCATCCAGTCCACTGGTTGGGAGATCATCTGTGGCATAGGATGACCATGTTTCAATGGCCAGCTGACAGAAGCTTTTGATCCAGGAGTGAGAAGAATAGTTTGGGTTACCGGTTACCCAACAGGTTTTGGTCGGTGAAAGATCCAGATTCTGGGCACAATTTTGGTCATCATATCATCTTGCTATTCCCCTACAGCACATCAACCAAGTAACTGACTAGTTGCTAGTTGGTTTCAAGAATATATCGAACTATAGGATGGGAATCGAATGGGATATCTGGAGGGTTCGGTTGTTGCTTGAGCTCTCGGAATGGAAGCCGCGAGGGCATCGCCAAAGTCAGTTGTTGATAAGTCCTTCATAAAAATGGATGGTAAGCTAAGATTTCATCATAATCCCCACATGCACACGCACATGTGCGCATATATATATATAGATATGTATATATGTATTAGTATAGATCCATAGGTTGTTGCTCCCTACCAATACATCATCCCATTAACCACTAACCACTATTAGCCATTATTAACCACTATTAAGCACCATTAACCATTGACCAAACCACCAACCAGCCTCCTGGTGCCCCGCCTGCATGGCCACTTTCTCCGCCGCTGCCAGGTCGCCCAGCATGCTGTGCGACAGCGCCCAGCTGCTGTAGGCATGGGGATGGCCTCACCAAGGTGATGCCCCGACAAAAACCATAGGAACAGGGTCAAAAGCCATAGGAAAACCCATAGGAAACTATGTGGAACACGGTACTTAACCATCAAAAACAGTGATTTTACCTGCATAATACATGGCTTTTCATAGGCAGTTCAACAGGAATCTCATGGTACTTAAGCATCAATTACCGTTCCAATTATGGAGATGTAGTTGACACTTGCCATGTTTAATGATAAGAATTCCCTGGAACTTAACAATGAATTGTGGGGTTCTATGGGATTCTCACTATCAAAGATCTTGGGGATATAATTGATACATGGTGGTGGAACTTCAAAAATTGTGATTTACCTCCTTGTGGACGAAACTGACAACTATTATGGCATTACAATTGGGATATCATGGTTAATACAACCAACGATACGATAGGTTTTTCTTAAAAAACAGGAGACAGGTACGACCAGATCATTTTACATGTGTCCCATGATTCATTACATTGCTTTACATTGGGTTACATTACATGACCTTACATTTTCCATTCCATTACACATACATTCTCATCTTTGCCTCTTTTGATATTCTCATGAATTCCAATTTACTGGTGGTTAAATCCACATTAATATTCTTAGATCCCTATTGATAATAGGTGAATCATCATCATCATCATCATCACCATCATCACCATCATCATCATCATCAGAAACAAACATCATGTACAAATGGGCCATCTCTACCATAGCGATGTTAAATAACCAGAGGGTATTAGATCCCCAAGAAGTATTCCCTCTGGTTGTAACATTAATTTCCCACGAAATATCTCCATTGTATCCCATTTAAATGACTCATAAACATCCCATTCAATTCCTATACCATTGTAACCAAAAAACAATCATTTGCCCATAGCTTCATAGATTATATTCCCACATATTCCCCCATGATACCCTCTGGTAAACAAACAGAACTATGGAAAATCACAATGTTAATGGGTAAATCCACCATTTCAATGGCCATCGCAAACGGTTAGTTTACCAGAGAGTATCCCCCATGATATCCCCCATCCAGTGGCCGCCTGCAACTTCTTTTTCCGCCTCGGCAAAGAGCTGCGCGGCGCGAGCGAAGCTCGGCCGTCCCTGGCCCGGCGAGGCCTGCGCGACGGCGCTTAAAATCGATCCGCTTTTGGGTGTCGAAACATGGGAAAATCATCGGAAAGTCATAGGGAAACATGGAAAACGAGGGGAAATATGGGAAATCAACTATAAATGGAAGTTAAACATGATTTTTTCATGGGATTTAACATGATTTAACTATATTTAACCATCAACTATAGAGGTTTTAATCAACAATTGAGCCATTCTGAAAACCTTCAGTCACTCCCTATGTCGTATCATTTTGGGTACGCCAAGCTTACGCGCGTAGAGTTTTTCCTTACGCGAAGTTCTTACGCGGCCTTACCCAAGTGAGGGTTTTGCTTACGCCAAACGCGTTATGACAAGGCCCTTACTGAAAATGTAAAGGGAGGGTTTTGGAGCGGCTCAATTGGGGTTTCATGGGGATGATTAAGCCAGCTCATTCATCCAGTAATCCATTAATTTTAGATTAAAGCAAGAAATCATTGGGCAAATTGATGAATGGAGAAGTAATGTGGCCTATTCTATTCCCGCTCATTGTTGGTTATACAGTTATACCCCTCTATTTGCTGGTTGTTCTCCTATCCATCAAACTTGGGGATCAACGCTTATGGAAGAGTTTTTCCGGATGAAACGCTGGCTCTGAAAATAGGCTACTCCCAATTCCCATTTTTATCACCATTTTCATCCATTTTCCCTAGTAAAATATCGATGCGTGGGTACCCCCATATTTGTAGAGCGGGCTGCGTAGCTCCAAGGCAGCAAAACCATCTGATTCGTGACACCGGCTGCGGATTGATGCTGGGGCCCCCGTTTACGAGAGCGTTCAGTTGGTGCACATAACTCCAATGTCACTATGGTTTATGGTACCTATAACTATAGTATTCATGGGGTTTATAAACCATCTTATAACTGTGGGGCCCCACATTGTAGTGGCTAATGACCCTTTGCGTCCAAGAGTCTGGATAGGGGGACCTATCGGAGGGGTGCTGCAGGGGTTCAGGATGTGCACAGCCAAGAGACATATCATTTTATTCACTACAAAACCACATGTAGGTACTGTTGGTTATATGGAATATGTCCATTAAATACCCATTAAACCCCATTTAAACCACCATGAACCATAGTATTAGTCGGATATGCATTAGAGGGGGAATCTAATGAACTTTAACGAACAAAACCATTTAATGAACTTGAATGAACTCATCCATTTACCAACTGCTTGGTATCCATAGTTTTTCAGCGATGGCTTCACGGGTACCGCGCCTCCATTCGCAGTCCCTGCTGGTTGAGGATTTCTCCGACCAAGCGCAGCAGGGCAGCAGGCCGTCCGCGCTGGAGGAAGGCCTCTTCGCCGTCCGTGTGCTGAATCGTGGAGTTTGAGAAGTGGTCACCCTCTGGTAAACTGACGGTTTGCTATGGAACATCTTCATTCTTGATACGTGCTAAGTAGATCTAAGTAGGACATTTTCATACATTTTCCATAGCTATGTTAGCTTTCCGGAGTAGCTCTGTAGAAACGGGTATATGAGGGTTTATCGCCCACTTATTGTCACCAGTTAACTCCATCATGGCCCGTTTTCGTGGGGGTTCTGAATCCATGGGGGTTTCATATGGAGTTTCTTGAAGATTTTCCCTTCATTGAATTCTGGCAATGAACCAATAAATGAGGAGATCAGCAAATATGGTTGATGAACAAGTGCAGATTGGGATGCACAAGACAGTACAACTTTGGAGATATGCCGCGATACAAGGCCACATTTGTAATTAGTTCATAGCCACTCTTTTTGAATCCCAAATGGAACACTCCCAGGGGGGGGCATCTCACCAGGTAAAAAAGAACGATTTGACAAAATGGCGAGATGACCGACGGTTGATTTGGATAGCAAACATATTTTCTTTGCTCCCAAGAAATGGTATCCTTGAAAATTGCCAAAAACAATCCATGAATCTATTCTAGTACCCCTCGGAACGAAACATGTCTCAGCTACCCCCATGTTCCATGGAACGGTGCATTCACCTGTTCCAAAATGTTGTATGTGCGAGACTTTTGGTTATGTATGGTAACTACAAGAAATTTTATGAAAGCAAACACCATATTTGATGGAGACAGCCATTCTACCATTTTTGAAGGTCTACCAGCCCCTGAATGGGATCACAGCTGTTCCCTCCAATCCTAGCTGATGACTCATCGATGTCTTAACGATGTTCGCGTTGATAGTATTGAAATGCCATGACGATGCTTGTTTGCCGGGGTAGAGCCTCTGAATTCTCTGCTTTGTGGCTCCAAGCCATCACCAGCATGGCCCTATTCTGCAGGCTGCTATTCCACACCACCAATGTTGGCAATATCGGCATTGAGCTTTCCCAGCTAGGTGATTGCTGCTCCATCTTCCATCAATTATTGCACAAAAGCCGCCTGATCAGGATCTGATCAGGATCTTGATTGCCTGCAAGTTGCATTAAGTTAACAGGTTTGCTGCCGAAAAAATGGCACCAAGCTTCTCAATTTGGCCGCCACCAACACAAGGACTCATTGCACGAGATCCATCCCAAGTCGCAGAATCATAGTCAAGGAGCTCGGAATAGCCACGAATCAACATATTACTTCCTTTTTTTTTCCAATACGTTGTCCAATTGTTGGTAAAAAAATCATTATATCCCTAAGATTTGTATCCCCAGTTATATTTTTATAATATATATATATACATGTACACGTATATATAAATCAACCATATTACATGTAAAACTTATACGTTACCTCCATGACTTTCCCGTTCTTTTGTGGATTTCCACAGCTCCCCTGCCTTGCCCAGCTGCAAGGCATCGTCGAAACGCTGCTCGTAGACAAGGCACACCAAGAGGAAACGCTGCAGCAGCGCCTGCAAAACTGGAACGAAAATGTGGAAGAAAACGTGTCTTTTACCGGAAATAGATGGTAATACAGTATTAATACATCCAAAATTGAAGCTTCATGGCATTGTTGGGTTTACCACATTACGTTCAACATTTGGTGATCTACAGCTATGATTCATGATTATCACTTTAATTATTTTTAAAATAATAATATGGACATTGCATGTGACAATGCAAAAAATATGCATTTTCATCTCTCACATTAGATTGCCCTTGATATTCTTCATCTACAGCTAAAAATTCAACGATTGCACCCCCAAGAATCACTTAAAGAACCGCAAGGTCGTGGTAGTATTCGGCCATCAAAGGCCTATTTCGGGATTGTGATCCGCTCCTTAACACCTTGTATCCAAGTATCATTCCATCCACCCAGAATTGGGATGGGGATCTTTTATCTTTTGCGCCTAACAAGCTGCCTCAATTCCCAACATTGATAGTATTTCCATGATGAATCACGTGTTTGATTCGGGTTTCCCAATATTCTCTCCTGTACATATTCAAAACATATTCCAAATATGCCCAGTATTTCTGGTTGGTGGTATACCTACCCCTCTGAAAAATCATGGACTTCGTCAGTTGGGATGACATTCCATTCCCAACTAAGTTTCTGGAAAGTCAAAATCCACCATGGTTCCATGGTTCCAGGCACCACCAGATTTCCAATCCAGCTGTTTGATCAGCTGATCAGCTGATTCAGCTGGTTCACCCAATAAATGTAGGTATTAATATAAAAGCCAAACATCTGGTGGGTTCCATATCATCTTGGTTCCACATTTTCGGCGGCTGAACTGTTTTTAGCGCCTCCCATGCTGTGTCTCTGCAAACAGCGCGTTGCAGCAAGGGCCGTGCCGCCGCGAAATGGGCACAGGCGTCCTGGCGGGGGATCATAAATATATGGGTCAGTATATATGTACAGACATATATACAATATGTACATATATATATATATATAATATGTACATATATATATAAATGTGTATATATATATACATGTTTACATTTGTATATATTGATTATACGCCCTCTAAAAACATCATATATTATATATCATGATAGTGGGTTATTATTTCCGCATAATATTCTGCATAATTTGCCTTGTACATCATATCCCTTCTGTTTGCTCCTCGTATCGACCTGCATCTTGCTGGAAAATAGCGAGGACATACCTAGGCACGACCCAGGTTGACGGACCGGGAATCCGGCAGATATGGTCAGAAAGGATTTAAGTCGAATCTGAATAGAATCCTTCAAACAAAAATCTGAATTTTCGATTCACCAACGAGAAATGCTGTGTAGCATGTAGAAATGAGAACGGTGCAGGTGTCCGTTTGAATATTTCCGCAAAAAAATGCTGCAGAATGTCAACCCAGTCCCTCCTACCATTGCCATCATCCCTCTACTGTAGATCCCCCCCACTCCCGTCATATTCGGGGGTCTTATACCAAAGTCCAATAGCCAATCACACTGTGGCCAACCATTTGTTGCTTTAGTATCCATCTGGTTGGTGGTTTCAACCCCTCTGAAAAATAGGAAAGTCAGTTGGGATGATGACATTCCCAACTGAATGGGAAGTCAAAAAAATCCATGGTTCCAAACCACCAACCAGCTATCAATTCTCCAAAAACCATGGATTTCTGGGTCTATGAATGATTAAGTCCCCTGAGATCATCATGGTATCTTTAGGGAGAAACAAAGAAGCACCATTTGAAACAAACCAATCAACATTTTATTGGTTTATATCCCCATTCTCCAATTTTCGCTGAATATTCCTCTGTGATAGATTAAGATTAAGATCGCATTTTGGATCACTTATGACAACTTGTTGCAGTCTGGATCACCCGAAGCCATAGCCACCCCCAGCCGAAAACCATCGATCATTCCCGAGCGACCACAGGCAGCCCAGCAAAGCTGCATTTGAAAACTCCGGCTCCTGGCAATGTTGGGAAGTTATTTGGAAGGCAGTGCTCCAGTTTCTTAGCTAAGTTGGTGAAAAGAACCAGTTTAACTCTTGGTTTTGTGGGTGGGAAATAAATATAGTTGATAGGGGCTATAATCGAAGTGACAACCGTGGGGCCACCTTGCAGCAAACTGAATTGTAACATACATAATGACTGGGAAAAAGTAGGGTTTCCACAATAATAATGAATATATTACCAGAATTACACTGAGTAAAGTCTTGTGCATTCCAGTTACTGCGGTAGACTAATTGCATCCTATAAATATCGGGGGGAAACATCCCATTCATAATATAGCTGGGTTATATGTATATATATATATATATGTGTACATATTTAAATTATATGTATACAATTGAATTCACTGGGATCAAGTGGTTCATCAGCTCGATCCAGCCATTTCGGGAGGTATAAAACATATTTCTTGAGCACATCAGTACGTATAATTTACCCTAGGATGGACTAACATATGGAACCCCCCATGGTTTCCTAACGATTAAAAAATGGTAGTTTTTTCCACATTTTTTGTATGTTTACAGGAGGGTGCAAACCTGATGTGAAACCAATAGAAACTTCCCAGAATATCTAAATAATTGGCTGAAATTCACGATAAATGGATAAGGAGATGTTCCATTGCAAGGGCTGATAGGTTACTAGAAGGTATGGAACATAGAACGCCCCAACAAAAACTTCTTCCTTCCTAAAACCAACATCGCGAGGAGTTTAGTCATTGTTTCAACACCTCAAACGTGTTGCTTTTTCAACCCCTCCAAACAGCGAACTATGGGTTTGCACAACATGGGGGTATACTCTCAGCGATTTTGATGATGATGAACCTGGGACCCTGGTTTCAGTTTGGGAATTCTACAGATGGTTAACTGGTTGGTGGTATACCTACCCCTCTGAAAACTATGAATTCGCCAGTTGGGATGATTGTTCCCAACTATATGGGAAAGTCATAAAATTCATGTTCCAAACCACCAAACAGTTAATCTTAGATACCTGGAAAGAACCATCTCACATGGCTATTCTATTCCTGAAATTTCAGCCATCAATCTACTCAAGCAAGGCGGCGGATCCTGCTCGTAGCGCTGCTGCGCAAAGTACAGGATGCTTTGCACCTGCAAAATTAATCCAATGGCCAATACTTCAGTGTTTGCTGGAACGTTTCCTTACATGTAACCTGGTAGTTTCAATCCCAGTTATTTCTGGAGATATTGGGAATGGTTTAGCATTGGCTTTACCAATGGGCCCGCAGAAGCTGTTCAGTGAACCAATATCTCCAGCTAAGGATAGAGCTTCTATTCAATAAAATTGGTCACTTGTGCTGGATATCATCACCACATATCATATGGATGATACCCTGATGATGCTTAGTGTAATCTCAACTTTTCAATTGAAACATATTCATTTTTTCGAAAAGGCGGGTCCTTGAAACTGGGTACAAGATGCACCGAAGTTATGGTCATATTTTTATTGGGGAAGTGATTATGAACACATTGGGTTTAAGGGTAGTCCATTTTTAAACAAATCCGTTTGCACAATGTTCCCTCCGTCATTTTAACATACTGGCTAGTTAAGAACGGGGTTCTCAGTTTGTGGATGATATCCAGTGTATATACATACTTGAGAAGGGGTGACACGAAAGGTAGTTGTGTCACAGGGGGCGCGGGGGATGACTCAGTGCGAAAGCCGACATGCGACCGGGCCCTTTTCTGCTGACACCAAGCCTTTGGCTTGTCAATATGGACGTCATGCGCTAGCAAATCACCGCTTTGACAGAACGAAGGGAAAATTTCTGTCCAACCGAAGCATGGAGAAGCGCCGACGTTCCTTTGCTTCACCCGTTTGCTTGCAAAAGTTCCAGTGACGTGGCAAATGGATGTCGAAAAATCCGAATCGCAAGTCGAATGATGATGATGATGATGATGAGGATGAGGATGATGATGATGATGATGCTGATGATGAGACACTGCGAAGGGGCTGCTGCGTGAAGAGACGCACAAGGCATGTGACGAGAGTTCACGTCGGGGGGGGGGCATGGAACTGGACATTCAAAGCAGAGCGGAGATATCTGGATCCAAAAAGAGAGCACCCCACGATGTCCATGGTTGCGCATCACTTAGTCCATTTAAATAGCCATTTGGAGATATACATTTTCAGACACACGCATTGTGCGGGGGAAAAAAACACGATCAGTGTTAGCACAAACTCCAATGTCTCTTTTTGCGGTACCTATGGATGCTCGAACCTGTCACTTTCATCGCACCGTTGGGTACTTGGAAAATGGATGTCGAAAAATCCGAATTTCAAGTCGAATGATGATGATGATGAGGAGGAGGAGGAGGATGATGACGATGATGCTGATGATGAGACACCGCGAAGGGGCTGCTGCGTGAAGAGACGCACAAGGCATGTGACGAGAGTTCACTTGGGGGGGGCATGGAACTGGACATTCAGAGCAGAGCGGAGATATCTGGATCCGAAAAGAGAGCACCCCACGATGTCCATGGTTGCTCATCACTTAGTCCATTTAAATAGCCATTTGGAGGTATACATTGTCAGACACACGCATCGTGCGGGGGAAAAAAACACGATCAGTGTTAGCACAAACTCCAATGTCTCTTTTTGCGGTACCTATGGATGCTCCAACCTGTCACTTTCATTGCACCGTTGGGAACTTGGAAAATGGATGTCGACAAATCCGAATTTCAAGTCGAATGATGATGATGATGATGATGATGAGGATGATGACGATGATGCTGATGATGAGACACTGCGAAGGGGCTGCTGCGTGAAGAGACGCACAAGGCATGTGACGAGAGTTCACTTGGGGGGGGGCATGGAACTGGACATTCAGAGCAGAGCGGAGATATCTGGATCCGAAAAGAGAGCACCCCACGATGTCCATGGTTGCTCATCACTTAGTCCATTTAAATAGCCATTTGGAGGTATACATTGTCAGACACACGCATCGTGCGGGGAAAAAAACACGATCAGTGTTAGCACAAACTCCAATGTCTCTTTTTGCGGTACCTATGGATGCTCGAACCTGTCACTTTCATCGCACCGTTGGGTACTTGGAAAATGGATGTCGAAAAATCCGAATTTCAAGTCGAATGATGATGGTGATGAGGAGGATGATGATGATGATGATGATGATGATGATGATGACGAGACACTGCGAAGGGGCTGCTGCGTGAAGAGACTCACCAGGCATATGGCGAGAGTTCCCTTTGAGGGGGGGAGGGGGGGGGTCCCTTTCTCCTGGTCGTTCAGGGATAAGGGGTCCAGCCCGCCCCTTTGCTTCGCAAAGTAAAACTCAAGGTAGCCCGCTAGGAGGCTACATTTCGTGATATTCGACAGTCGACCAACCACTATTTATCAACTAATCCAAATCTTTTTCATGATCAAACCCTTGCGAATGATGGTTAAATTCCCGTTGAATCATTCATCAAAGTTTTCTCACTAAAAAAACCTTAGAATCATCACCTAACTGGGGTTCAATCCCATCTATTCTCACATTTTCTTCAGTAAAATCCCAAGAATCATCAACCAACGAATTTCCAACTGGGACTAAGCCTTGAAAAATCATATTTTCACTACGCTTCGGTCATGTCATGGAAAAATCAACCTATTTGAGATTGCCAACTTCCCATTGGAAGCTTCATTTATGGTGTATTTTCCCATGATATTTACATATTTTCCTATGATTTTCCAATATTTTCCCATGATTTGTCCATATTTTTCCATGATTTTCCCATGAAACCTGCCATTTTTCTGGGGGATTTCCCAGCGGAACCTCCTCCAAGCGACTTCGTCGCAGGGCAATCTTCGAAGCTTCGAGGCGGCGTAGCAGGCGCCCGGCGGAGCTCCACCTTTGATCCGGGAAGTTAGAGAATAGTTAAATAGTTTTATCGTACCATAAGTTATATCGTAATAGGTTTATTCTCTTACCATAGAATATACATAACTATAGTAATGATGGTAATAGTTTATATGTATATATATATAAAGCTAAATGATAAATCCATCTTGTGAATGAATGGCAAATGGTTCATAGAGGAATAATGATGTGATATATATATATATGATATGGATATAAAGTGAATATAACATGGGAATATAGTGGGAATATATCATGGGATATATAACCAACACGGGATGAATGCGGACTTCACTCACGGGTATATATATATATATATATTGTTTATAATTCTATTGGTTGGTTGTACCCCACGGGATATATAACTATTAACTAATTAGTAACTAATGGGACATTGATATTTCATGGGATATATAAATATTAAGAATAACTATTCATCCCATTCCCTGTTCATAGTACGTAAGCATCCCCCAGAAAACATGGTACAAAGATGTAAAAAGTAGGGGATGGAATCACATATTTGGGACCATAGACTACCATAGACTGGGTGTGTTTAATATGAATGGGGGATGGGATTCATGGAATATATATTGGGTAATGGGGCAATGGGCGATGGGGAATCAAGGGTGATATGTCAGTTCTTGGATGACCATCCCCTATTGGTGGACAAGAATTATACGTCCCTTCAAGACGAGATTCGAAGCACAGATTTTCTTTAACCTGTCCTAATTAGAAAAAATCACCCCAAGACAGCAAGATCGCTTCAAAACAAAATCCATTTCATCCAGATATTCCAGTATATTGATATACCGTACCCAACCCATGATATCCCAGTTGAGGATTTGGAAAAGCCATGATTTTCGCCTCCGTTTCTCGACAGATTTCAGCGCCAAGTCACACCTGTCGTCTTCGGCACTGGGCGGCTTCAGTAAGGTGCGGGAACCTGGCGGCATCATCTGTGTCTGACAACATGGGATGTGATGGGGAGTATAACCAACAATAGTTTGGGTATATTAGTCATAAATGGGATAGAATGGGGATTTAAGTAGTGGATCTTGATATATGATACCTTGAAACATATGGGATGATGCTGGGAATATCAGGGATTCATAGGGGATAATCCTTAGGATATACATGGATATACCATCCGGTGTCATAAAACATAGCCAGCTGGGAAATCCCCCAACTAGCCATGAAGGTTTGCTGGGAAAATCATGAAACCAAAGGGTTGATTTTCCATTGCCATGTTTGATTACTGGAGGGTATGTTTTTCAAGTTATGGTACTTTTCAAATTTTAATAGGGGAAATACGGCAAAAAATGATGATAGTGTGTCAAAGAACTCATTGGACCTGCATGTTACTGGGCTAGGTCCCATCTGTAACTGGGTACATCATATTCTTGGAATCAGTAGGGGACCTCCAAGAAAAATCCCATACGAATCGCAGCGGCTTGTAGAGGTTTCCAGCTGGGAAAGTCATCGAACTTAAAAAAACACCGGATGCAACCAGATTTCAGGTCACGTTTGATTACTGAAGGGTACGCCAACAGCTAGCCCTAAATCCTAAACCCCAAGTAAGTTCTGGTTATCTCAACGTTTGTATCCTTCAAGATGTAGATTGACCACCAATTTACATAGGATTGTGATGACTGTCCATAACATGGATAGCCTTAGCCATTCTGCTTGGCCAATGAGCCCAAATCTAGATGCCTTTCCCAATCCTTGTGCTGGAAACATTGATTGGCATGCCAAAGTCTTGAACATCTCCATTGCTTTGTTACAAATGGGGGTTTCCTAAGTCATGGGGGTACCCCCAGTCATCATCCATTTTTAGATAGGATTTTCCATCAAATAAACCATCCAGCTATTGGGGATCCCGCATTTATGGACCCCAAATAAATCCAAAGTTGACAACTGAAGCCCGTTGGACGCTGGACCCGCCTTGCTTTGGGTTCGGCGCGCACGCTGCAGCTTCGCTCCATGCCACCATGGTAGTCTGAAATCGCCAGGGGTCAGGAGCAACCACATAAATTTAGTGATGGGTGCACCCACAAAAAAATATATTAAAAATAAAGTTTTAAACATCCTTCACGTCTGCGAACGTTCTTCTCTTGCTGGTCTCTACTTCAATGGCCGGGGTATTTCCCAATACATCCAACATATCGCTGTGGCAGGTTTGAGTGGACATGCAACAGAACTCCTTTTTGGCATTAAACCGGTTAGTTAGTCTTGTCGGGCGACCAATACTATTGAAGCAATGCCATATCAAAGATGATCCAACTGTTGGGCATATCATCCCAAGCATCCGGTGGATGTTAAACACACTCAACAGAGTGTCTGCAGCTAGAAGCTGGGCCAAAAAACGGGGCCACGGCGAGGGGAAACAATCAACGAGTTCACAATGGAGGTGGAAACAGTAATTTCGGGAGGTCATCCTTTCAACCATTGAATTTGACCTGATCAGTTTGGGAGAGTTTCCCACCAAACCGGCAACTGCTGGGTGGTTTCAAGCCTGAGAAAAAGGAAAGCCATTGGGCATCATTGCAGGTAAAGTTGGGCACTAAGAAAACATGTGAAGCGAATCAGTCAACATCAATGACTCGCTAGATAATATCAAGAAGTAAACAAGGTTCAACCAAGCGATTTCTTGTTACGAGGTCATTGTTTCTGACACATTCAAGCCCTGACCAACTTAGTTCTGCAGCAAGCTCTGATCCTCAATTGGGGAATGTCAAACATTGGCACCATCGTGGACATGGCTTTCCATTCTCAACCTCTTCAATCTACAAATATCTACGGATCAAAACCCCGCCACCCGTCGGTTCACCAAATACTTGGCTGTACTTGGCTTTGCAGTTCCAGTTCTAGCCGTGGCTATGAAATATTATACCTACATATAGCCATAATTATAGAGCCATTTATTTTTTTTTAATGATATACCCAGTTTGTATCAGTTTATAATCATGACAAAACCTGGGTATAGCCATCATTAATGCCATTTATATAGCCATTCTATCATGGCTATTGATAGGGCCCCATGGTTACCCATTCCGAGGATCCCGGCCTTGGAAGGTGCCGTGGTCTGAGATGGGGATGGCTAAAACAATGGTGGTTGAATGGTGCTGTTTAAATGGTTTTAATGGGTTTAATATGTAAATATTTATTATTATATTATTATATTAATATATAGTGTTTGGATTCTATGGAATAATGGTGGTTAAATCATGGTTAAATATCAATGGGGATGGGTCAAAAAAACCTTGTACCCCTTCTGTTCACATCAAATTGCTGGTTGTTATGGATGTTCATCCCCCTAACAAATGGTATACACATGGGTATTGATCCATAGCCATCTCTGAAAATGGCTTGTAGACCCTCAATGTTCACCATCAAATTCTGGGTTGAATGGGTATGGGGAACATTGAGCTTCGCTGGTTGGTGGTATACCTGTCCCTCTGAACAATATGAGTTCGTCAGTTGGGATGATGACATTCCCAATACCCTCTGGTAATTTAACATAGCTATTGAAAATAACCCATTTATAGTGGATTTTCCATTGAAAATGGTGATTTTCCATAGTTATGTAAAGGTTCGCCAGAGGGTATACGGAAAAACATTTTCCAAACCACCAACCAGTTCTCAAATCTTCTCCACCAACATTTGGGCTATTCCATTTTCAGACAAAGCATCATGGCTCCTAGTGAATTCATAATCTTCACCAAACCAGTTAGTTTCTCCCGATATTGACCCATTTTCAAACAAATTGTGGTGCTCAGCGTCCACAATTGCATCACCCACTTCGCCTGATGCAATGTCATCTCGAATGACACCTGCGGCCGCAGATGTGGTACAGGTGTGGGTCACAGTCGAACCATGCAAGTCATATACTTCCACTTTGTGAAAACCATTTCATCTATCCAGTTTCATGTATCCACAAATTTCTTCGGATGGTTGAACTCCAGATACCATCTTTTACCGCCGGCCAAACCGCAATTTCTTAATGGGTTCCCCCAGATCTTTGCCCAATTTCCAAAGTTCTCTTCATATTTTTTCGATATTTTCCAACATGTTCCCATACCTTCAGCACGTCACTGGTGCAAGGCACCTCAGTGCCCTTGAAATCAAAGGATCTGCAGACCTCTCCACGACGACTTGGGGGTGGGTTTATGGTCAATGGATTGGTTTTGGGGAAATCTTAACCGGAAACCAGGGTTTTTCCCATGAAATATATATAGGGGTTTCCGGTTTGAATTTTCCCTTCAACCAATCAATTAATTGGGGGATTCACCAACAACATATGGTTGATCAAAGGAATTTTAGAAGCCTTCCGACTTATGGACGCAGCAACAAGGGAAGAGTCAGAGAAGAGAGAGTAAGTAGAAAGAAGAGAAGAAAGAGTTGGAGTATCTTCTCTGTTCTCTAACTCTTGTGGATGCAGCAAGTCGCGATTCACTCTGTGTTTTTCCCAATGTTTTGCGCTTCCGGAGGGTTGACATTGGTAGGCTAAA